TATTATTAATATTTAGGCATTTTTTTCACTGAAGAGTCCCAAAGGTGTACACAGCTGGGTCAAGGCAAATCTGACATTGTGCCTGTGATCCAGCCAATGTCATCCCAGTGATGACAGAGGGCTATGGCCTTACAGCAGAAGCCTTGGGAATGAGGAGAGTCCCAGATGGATCCCCCTTCATTCCTAGCTCAGCCCCTTTTCATCCTATGTCTTACAATCCTCTCCCTTTTGTCCCCAGCTTCTGCCCACAGCACATCACCCCTTTTCTTTTGGAGGGGGCACTTCTTTAATAGAAATACTAAGCTTCAATTCATTGGTCCCCTCTGCTGTCTTGCATATCTTGAGGGACCCAGCATGAGAAAAATGTCACTCATTTGGCATCTTGCTTTGTTCAGTCTTTGCTGCTATACATAAGGCCTGGGTAATTGCAGCCTGGCCACCGTGGCTGGAACCTGCTCCCAGCCCAGGATGAAGCCTTCAGCCATGGGAAGAAGTATGCACTCCGAAGCCAAGGGCAGGGAGGAAAAGACGGAGAGATGCCACTCCAAGTCGCAACTTGTTTAAACCTAAAATTCCTAAAATCAAAAACCTGAGAAAATTCATTTCTTTAATATTTAGAATTCATTTTGAGGAAGACATTGGGTGGGAGGGTGGAGTGTAGTGTGTGTGTTTGTATGTGCGTTCACGTTACACAGCCTTCCATTGTGTCCACGTGATCAATTCACATTCTTCGCAGGACATAACTTCTACTCTATGTCTTACAAACCAGTAACTCCGACCTTATTACCTAAAAGAGACTTTGCCCTATCACTTCTCTGTGTGGAATTATAAAATTTTTGTATAAACTAACAAAGAAAGGCACCCTACCCCTCACCTCTCTTTAATATCTACATTTTTCCCCAAAGAGAAAAAAAGACACAGGAGGAGAGAAGGCAAAGTTGAAGACAAGGGGAAGTTGAACAAGTTTGGAAATACTTTCTGAAATGAAATATGTAAATTGCAGACAAATTTTGACAAATTTACTTCTTAGTCCCTCTTAAATGAATTCAAAATCTAGCCTTTGAGGCAGCCTTTGTTGGAGGGTGTCTCCGTGTGGATTCCCTCTAAGGCAGACCTGAGACAAGGACTTGGGTGCAGATAGTTTACTTAGGAGATGATCCCAGGAATCACAAATGAGGAAGTCTGCACAAAAGCTAGAAAATACCATTTTTCAGAAATAAAATTTTAATTCTTATTGTAGCCCAATCTATTCCTCATTTCATCCAAATCTGTATAGGGTTTGTGCACTTTGAAACTTTAATAACTTAATTTATAGGTATTCTCAAAACATTCTTTAAGTATCACCTAAGAAGAATTTTATTTACATTTAAGCAACTAAATTACATAATAAATTGTGCAACAAACAATATGGTTCTCTTCGATAAAAAGGTAAATCATGTCCTATGGCTGGCAAAGTTAAAAACCCATGTCACCTCTGGAAAAAAAACTCAATCTGCTTTGAAATGACATTTTCTGATGGCTATATCATATCTGAAGTGTAAGCTTTAAATTAAAAGTTTAAAACTATACTGAGGCTCTTGGAAGGCTGTGTAACGTGTATGCACACACAAACACACACACTACTCTCTACCCTCCCACCCCAGGTCTTCCTCAAAATGAATTTTAAATCAATAGCAAGTAGTTATATTCATTTTAATCCAGACTATCAGGTTTTAAGGGATGTCATAGGATGATGTGATTTTATTTAT